TGGGCTGTGTTTTAGATAATAATATTGCACGAAGGTTAAGTTTCCTAGGATACTAGGGGCACTGTCTCCAGGAAAACACTCTTGTTCCCACATCTTTTTTGGGGGGGTGGTGAGCCACCTAAACGTTGCAGACCCCACTTCCTCCTCCACATACGTCGGGGTGGGGGTAGACGAGGATCAAGCGACTGTCCTAAGACACTGCAGGCTGGCGGGTCTGGGCGATGTGCATACCGCGGCCGCGCACACTCTTTCAACTCTTCTTTAATCTGGAATTTTCCAAACAAAGTCAGTGGGAGAATCACATGGAAATAGATTTTCCCCCAAAACAGCACCATCTACCAAGGTGTGGTCAAGAAAGAGGCACATCAAACGGCCTTATGCCCAGGGTTTGGGGGACCTGGAATTCATGGGGCCTGGCTCGTGAGGGCATTCTGTTCTCGGAGAGGGGACAAGCGGTGGCACTGTCTCCCCAGCACCCTGCCGAACAACATGGTCTCTCGTATTCTTTTTGGTGTCCCAACCTTCCAATGTGCCCACTGACCGGAACATCCAGGCCAAATGTCTTCATGGGTCAGATTCATTCTGTGGGAGGTGGTTCGGGTTTAGGACCCACCGGCCCCATCCCATTGTGTTGCCGGACAGCAGCAGAGGCCCAGGGAGGTGACATGACTTCTGGGGGCCCAGTGAAGCAGGAAGCGTGGGCTCCGCCCCACCACCCCTTCCACACCCAGGATGTATCCAGGGTCCCAGACAAGCCATGACGCTGGAAGAAACCGATGTTGGAGCCCCAGCAGCAGGTCCACACAGGACAGGCCCCCAGTCTGAACCCCTCCCAGTTCAGGAGCAAACCCACACACACAAGGGCGCTTGAGGGAATGGCATCGTATCGCACAACCAGAAGGGACACATTCCAGCACAGGCCTCAGGCCTTAAACCTCCGTGGATGCTAATTAGGCCCGATTGTTTTTAAAAACCACAGAAAGAGACAGGGCCACAGACCTCAGTGGCGGGTGGCTCTCTCCTCTGATTGTCCTTTGCTCTCCTACCTCCCTCTCCGGCTCCATGCAGAGACCATGCACGCCTCTACCCCGTTCCCTCCAGCTTCCAGATGCCAATCCCTGCCAGGAATCAGAAATCCACAAGGCTTTCAGATCGAGGTGAGGCAGAGAAAAGTGACCTCCTGGGTTTCTCTGCGGGCCTCTAAGTTACTGTCCAGACGTTCCCCCACTTAAGGCCCCGTGTGCAGGGAAGAAGCGGTAAGCCAAATTCTGCAGTCACTCTCCCCTTCTTAGAGACGGGGCTGGAGCCCCTGCAAAGGCGGGCCTCTCGGGCAGCAGGGTGGGCCCAGGTACTTCCTCTCTGGATTTCTGGACCGCAAATGACCTGCTGAGATCGTGCCCGAGGGCGGATCAGTGACGTAAAGCAGGGGCATGAGAGATGCTCAGGGAGCCCCAGGCAGCCCATCGTGCTTAAGGGTCTGCTGCCTGGGTTTCAAGACCAGAGTGTTGTGGCTGGAAAGAAGAGATCTGATCCCAGCTCTGGCGCTAAGCAGGCATCTCAAAACCTGGACCGTGGGTTCACCTAGGTAAATAAGAGTCTAACGGTCTTGCGGCACGACAGCATCTTCCACCCGGCGTGGGTGTGGTCAAGAGCAAAACGGGGAGATCTCTTGGAGGAGCCCAGACCTGCACCGTGCACGACCCGCCTTCTTCCTATCTTTGGTGGAGCGGAGACTGAGACTGCTCAGCTGGAGAGGCATTCAAGTAAGTCCAAAGCTCTTTAAGGACCCACGAGGCACATTTCCTAGACCCCACCTCTAGAACTGGGTGGCCAGCCAGCGCTCTGCGATTCTGGGGGAACGTGGCCCTGCCTCAGCTCGTCCTGGAGGAAGTGGAAACCTGTCTCCGAACAGCCTCATGTGTCTTCTCCTCCTGGCTGAGCGGGCACTGCCGCCTGGAAGGATGGGCCGAGAAGCCAGACGTAGGAAAGTCACCCGTGGCGGGAGGGAGGAACAGACTCGGCCCGAGGCGCAGAGGGACCTTTGAGGTATAAGCAACAGCAGTGCCCCAGCAGCCGCGAAGACAGCAAGAGGAGAGACGCCTGGGGAGACCAAGGGGCTGGCCAGCTGATCTGAGCTGCTGGCTCCCCCTTCCGAGTCCTCGGTTTCCTCCTCTGAAGATGAGGGAGCTCGGTGAGGTGCCCCAGACCAAGCAGCCTGTTGGCTTTTGAAGATCCTCCTGCTGACTGGGCCATCTCAGGCGGCCAAGCTCTCCGGATGGAGATGCTCCAGCCCCATTTTATCAGGAGGGAAGGTCCCTGGAGGCCCCTGACTCAGTCCCCCGTAAAAGCACCTCATTGGTGTACATGGACGGCTCCTCAGCCAGAGCCCACCCCAGGCCATCTGAGAAAAAGATGCACATCGAAAAGGAAGCAAACCAAGCTGCCCCACTGTGCCCTGAGTATTCCAAGCATGAACAAAGATATTTAACTTTGGAAGAGGAGACTCCCTGATGGCCCTTCAGAGGGCTGAGCCATAGCCCAGGACCGAGAACTAGGAGGGGGGTGGAGGCCAGACCGAGTCCACCTTCCTTCCAATGCTTAAGTTGTTGGTCACCACTGGACAGAAAAAACTTCATCCTGCATCTCTTAAAGCTACAGAGTCCGGTCTGTGGAAATACAGAATATGGAATGTTTTCTCCATTTCCCCAGGAAAGGAGGATCTCCCTGCCACTGGAAGCATTTAAAGAGGACAAGACCACTTTAAACAGATATTTTTGTCAAGGAATCGGCCCTGAATGAAGGGCTGACCCCAGAGGCCTGGGGCTTCTGCCCGTGGACAGAGAGAAGCAGGTGCCCGCATCAGGGGGAGGCTTAGACCAGGACCAGCTCCGAGCAAACCTCTCAGCCTCTTGTACCTCACTTGCCCTTACAAATCAAAGGTGATTATACACCCCATTTGAGGACAAACCTTGCAAAGGTTTTCACGAGCAACCCCACACGGCTTCCCAGCACTCTCCTCCAAAGCATGAGACATTCTGCAAAGATCCACCGGTTTCGTACCTACGACACCCCCGCAAAAAAAAAAAAAAAAAAAGAAAGAAAGGAAGAAAAGAAAAATTTCTTCCAAGGGGGAAAAAATGTCTTCTCTGGACAGATTTTAGAGCCTTAAAATGAAAAATATATATACTTAAAAATGAGTGACTCGAGACAACCTTGAAGGTTGAGAATGGTGGTTTGCAGACCCCCCTCCCCACTTCCACAGGCCCGGGGCCCACACATCTTACAGGGCCCTCCACTTTGGAGGAGTCTGGATGGCTGCGTTTCAGTCCAATGGCCCAAACGCTCAGGGCCTGTGGCGTTGGTGCCTTTTTCTTTCAGAAATCTTGATGGTCCCTTTCTAGGGAGCAGACCCTCCATTCTGGGAGATTCCCATGGGGGCTCCCACTGCTCCTTCTGGGCCAAAGCCAAAGCCTGTTTCTATCCAAGAGCCACGGATGTTCAGTTTATGAAAAAGGCATGGGAAGACGGGTGGCTTCTAGAAATAGCGGGGGGGGGGGGCGGGGGGCGTGTCAAGGGAAGTGAAAGTCACCTCTGTGAATTTAGTTTCCAGATCTTTCTTTATTCTTGTTATCAATGAGGCCCCCAGTGTACCCTATTCTACAGCCTAGCGCTCCCCCCTGGCCCCCAGTGTACCCTATTCTACAGCCTAGCGCTCCCCTAGGAGATTAACAGGCCTTCCCTTGGGGTTGTCCAAGGGGACGATGAGAAGGAATTTCTCCACTACTCAGGAAAACTGTCCCCTGAGACTGACAAGTTCCCAGCAGGCCAAGACACCGCTCCTTTGCCTCTAAACACTTCCTGAGACCAACACAGACTTGTTGCCCTTATTTACAAATCAAATGCAATTAGAGACTGTCTTTCTCGAAATACATATATATTTTTTTTAAATAAGGAATGCCCTGTCAGTTTTTTTTTTTTATTAAGAAAATAAGCCACATCCACCTGATACCCATTGTCATCCAAGCATCCCAAACCAGAATTCTCACTTACGCAGGTAGATGTCAAACCCCCCACCATGGCCGCCACCTTCCTATAAATAAGAGAGAAGTAACAGAACATTCTGTGGCTCCAACAATTTTCCAGTTTCCCCGACACTCCCAGTTGCATGGTAAATCGTTGGGGCTGCAGGTGGCAGAAATGCCTTTAATAAATTAATATTATTACTGGCTTTGGACTGCTCATTGCTAGTTTTGTTGTCTTGCGTGGATAATGCGTACCGGTCGAACAAAGTGCATGCTTCTAAAAAATTTTTGAACTGGCAAGCAAAGAGGAGCCACGTCTTCTTTCCCGCCCGTCCCCTTAAAAAGAAGTTTAATATAATTTAGAACGTAGCATTTAAAATATATGGTCATGACCCGTCTGGGATAAAGACCGCTCACGGAACATGCTTGATTTGGCAAAATGATAAATCAAAACCCCATGGGTTTGGTTTCCCCGTTTTGTTTGGAAGCCACCGAAAGCAGGTTAGTAACAGAACTGAGTCACGGAGAAAGAAATCTGTGAATACCTAAAACTTTCCGTTTTGTCACACAGAGCGCGCACACACAGGCACACACAGAAGCACACGGGCGTGTGCACGCCCTCACTCACTCGTAGTCCGCACACGCACACACCCACAACCACCCACCGCTGGGGAGGAGGACGCAGAGGACTTAGGTCAGACGGCACGTGGGTGGACACTTGCGGGCTGGCAGCCTGGTGTGCAACTTTGGGTTGGGTATCCTCTCGGCTCTGCCTGGTGGTCTTGGCGTCACCCCTGTCCTGGGAAAGCCACCCCGGAGATGGGGCAGGCTGCGGAGAAGTGTAAGGCATACTTCGCTGGGAAGGAAGGAAGGAATCCATGCTTCATGCTCAGACGCGAGTTTCAGAGGAGGATGGGCCTTTCTCTTCCCTTGGGCCAGCTCTGTCTCTCGCGGGGAGGTGGGGGAGCAGGTGGGGAGCAGAGGGGGGGGGGAGTCCTGCGGGAGCGGGGGCGGGACCACGGAAAAGGGAAGGAGAGAAAGTAACACAGAGAATGAGGACAACGGTAAAGGATACTGATAATAAACACGAAGGAACGGACGAGGTGGGCCGGTGGAGCTCGAGGTCAAGTCGGACGAGCGACCGCTTCTGCCTGCGCCGCCCGCCCCGCACCCTAAACGGACTTCCGCCGCCGCATCAGCCTGTGGTTGTCGGTAAAGCTATGTAACCCGGGGGAGATGGAGCTGATGGGGGAGGGGAAGAGGCTGTTTCTCAGTGTGCTTGGCGAGATCTCCTCGATCTTGTAGGAGATGGAGTGGAAGTAGTGGGGCGCGAGCTTGGCGCTGAAGGAGTTGTGCTGCGCGGCCGCGCGGCCGCCGTGGTCCTGCGGCCGGTAGCAGGTGCAGGAGCACACGGACGGCAGGTCCGGCGCGTCGGCCTTGCAGCGGGGCCGGCCGGGCCGCGCGTCCTCGGGGATGTGGATGACCATGCTGTTGCGCGTCCCGGCCAGCGACGCCCTCTCCTCGGCGTCCCGCCGCTCGTCCTCGCTGTTCATGGTCAAGAACCTGAGGACCACCAGGTTGAGGAAGGCCCCGATGACCGTCAGCCCCACCAGGATGTACATAAAGCTAAAGGCCACGTAGAGCGGCTTCTTCTGCAGGGCGCCCTTGGTCTGCAGGGCCACGTAGTCCCCGAACCCGATGGTAGTCAGCGTGATGAAGCAGTAGTAGTAGGCGTGGAAGAAGCTCCACTCCTCGCACTGGGAGAAGGCGGCCGCCCCGATGCACAGCGTCCCCATGCAGGAGAAGAAGCCCACGGTCACCATGTTCTCCATGGACACCTCGGTGCTCCGCATGCCACAGCACCGCTTGATGCGCTTCAGCAGGTAGCGCACAAAGGTGTTCATCCGCTCGCCCAGGCTCTGGAACATGACCAGCGTCAGCGGGATGCCCAGCACGGCGTAGAACATGCAGAAGGCCTTGCCCGCGTCGGTGCCGGGGGCCGCGTGCCCGTAACCTGAGGGGGGTGGAGAGAAACGGAGAAGGAGTGAGGAGCGCTCTGGGAGGCGCGCTGCGGCTGGACTTGGCATTTCCGCACCGAGGGCGCTTGGGCATGCCGGTGAGCTGGGAGGGAGAGAGAGGGGAGGACAAGGGAGGGAGGCTGGGGTGGGAAAGGGGCCGGGGCGCTTCCATGGGGATGGCGTCGGGGACTGCCCATATCCTGGAGGAGGGGGAAGAGAAGAACAAAGCAGTTTAGGGGTGGGAGGGGTGCTCTGGGGCATTTCATTTGGGAGCAGTTCAGATCAGAGGAGCGGCACATTCTTCTCAGAGCAAAACAAAGATTTTAAAAGGAAAAGCAGCATACTCACTAATAAGCTGCAAAAGTAGTGAGTCCAAGGGAGAAAATTAAATATGTCCACCATGGATGGACATTACTGTTGCATACCAGGCTCTGTGTGGGGTCCTGGTCCTACAGGGCCTTATTCTGACCTCCTAACAACCCTACAAAGGAGGCATAATGGGTCTGACACCAACAACAAGAAAACTGAGTTAGTTACTTAATAGTAGGATAACTTGAGTCCTTCAGGACTGGGATTTGAAACCAGAGTTTTCAAGCACCAAGAATGAGGCTTAGAAGCAGAGATTTTGAATCAAGAGGAGTAACTACAGAGTATGTAATATAAACACCATGAGGGCAAAGACTTGTATCTGTTTTGTTCACTGCTGGATCCCCATACCTGGAGTAACACATAGCATGCAGATTATTTCTTTAATAAATGAAGGAATACAGTTGCACCACTGTGCTTCTTAGGAAAGAGGGAGCAAGTAATCCTCTAAGAACCACACAGGTGTAAGTGCTTTTGAAATTCTTCATGAAACTTCGAAGCACATCACTTCATTAATCCCCTATGTCAATTGTGCAAAGTTGAGTCCATATTCCCACCCATTCAGAATGAGGACGGGGTGCTAGAAAGGTGCAGTTACCCCCCAGGAATCCTTCAGCTACTTAGTAATAATATCAGAGCCAGGATAGGGTCTGTACAGCATAGCTGGAAGAACATGAGACTCAGTAAGCTCTAGATCAAGTTCTGGGACTAATACTGCCAAGAAAGAAAGGAAGGAAGAGAGGGAGGGAGGGAGGGGGGAAGGGAGGGAGGGAGGGGGGAAGGAAGGAAGGAAGGAACGAACAAACGAACGAACGAACCGGACCTCAAATCACAGGCAGTATTTGGACCAAGAGCTTGGAGGATGAACATGGCCTTCCAACATCTCAAATCCTGCCCCATCAAGAAAGGCTTTCCTGGTGTTACCCTAGGCCATATGCTCACAGGCTCCTAGTCCTTTAACCAGCTGTATTATCTTGGACACCAGGCAACCTCTTCCAACCCTAGTTTCTGTTACATGGGATAATAATTCCCAGGTGGGGTTGTGCAGATCTGCTGAGTCAGACAGCACCTAGTCCAGGGCCTGGTACTCAGTGGGCAAGGGGTTGGAGGTCTTGGGGTCTGGTTGGTCCCTACAGTCTCCCACAGGAAACTTCATCTGACTGCCCAAGGCCACACCTCTCTACCAAGTCTCTATCACTTATGGTCTGTCTGTCCCTCCCCTGGCAGGAATTTGTGCCATGTCCTACCTGCCCCAGGGTCCATACTCTGACTAGAGAGATGACATCATTTGTTTGCCTCCAAGATGCCTTCTCTTCATCTTCTCTGGTCCTCAATCCCCCTGAGCCATCACTGACCTCCAGCCTCTCAAAAACCCCACAGTCCTTGCAAAAAAGGAAAAATGAAGTTGGAGTCAGGCCAGAAAGGATAGAAGAGGGAAACAGAAAGGTAATGGGGAGAGTGACTAATGCAGCAATAGAAGTCCACGCTGAAGAACAGAGAGCAATACAAATTATCATAAATTCTGAGAGCCTCAGACACCTTCAGGAGAGCATCAAAAGGCATCCCAGAAGGAAAAGAGAAAAGACCAAAGAAATTTGAATAGCCAAAATTAACCAAATTTGGTGAAAGACACAGATTTACAGATTCAAGAAGCCCAGTGAACTCCAAGTAGGATAAACACAAAACCACACATCAGAGTCAAACTGCTGAAAACCAACGAGAGATCCTAAAGGCAGCCAGAGAGAAACAAGGTATCACCTGGAGAACAATTTGAATACCTCTTCTTTCTAATCATAAACAATGGGGGCCAGGAAATGATAGAATAACATCTTCAAGGAGCTTTAAAAAAAAAAGACCGTTAACCTGGAATTGTCAATCCACAGGAAATATCCTTTAAGAATGAAGTCAAAATACTTTTTTACATTCAAGAAAACTCGTTACCGGTAGATCTGCACAGAATAATAACCAAAGGAAGTTCTTCTTCCTAGAGGGAAATGATACCAGATGGAGGCTTAGGTCTTCAGGAAAGAAAGAAGCACATCTTGTTAAACAAGAGGGTTTATATTTATACAAAATGCAGGGGTGGGAATCCCACTGTATCTCCAGAGAGCTCACCTGCATAGCTCATACAAAAGCCAGATGGAGGGTGGAAAATGGCAGGTGGTTGGAAACTGACTAAGGTGGTAATATTAGCTAGTGGATCCAGATGTGATATATTTTCTAGAGGAAACCAACACAGCATTGACCAGGTCAAAAACTGCACGTGGGGTGCGCAGACTGCACCCATTCCTGCCAGTAGTGATGTTCAGAAGCAGTTTCCTTCCCATAGCTGGACAGTGGTATGTCTGTAAACCCCGTGTCCGGTCACCTGCCATCTGTCCTTCTGCAGAATGAACGGACTCCATCATTCTGACGTCCTGTGGTATATCTCACTGCTCCATTACAGTGGGGTCATGCCTTAGTGAGGTGTGTGCATGACAGAGTGTGGGAGGTGAACACCCCAAAGTTCCAGGCCTTCCACATGAATACATCTATGGCCCTGTGGTTCGGGCCCAGGAGCATTCTCACCACAATGGCAGACCAGTTGCTAAGTGTGCAACGCTTCCCGGAAAGAAACAGCCAGGCAGGACGTCTTCAATTTCCCCATCCAGATGCACCCACCTCCTCCCTGCTCTCTGGTTTCCAGTTAGTTGGTCAGGAGGTCAGAGGAAGGGAGGAAGGTGAGGACCTTGGTGACAAGTCACCCTGCCAGCAGGCTCACAGCTGCAGTCCACAGCTGCAGTGACTGTTCCCGGACACACAGACAGCTCTGTGTCATCGCTCATCCAGAATGCCACACCCTCCCGGGTTGCTTTCCCTCCACCAGACCCACACTTTCCAGAAGAGTCTATAAATAGTCTGCTGATTTCTCAGATTGAGAGTGCTACTTCCTGCAAAGGCCCTAACGGATACACTCCGTGTTATTGTGCACTGGATCTGCTCACCATCTCTGCTCGGACACAATGCAGCAGGCACTGCGTGTGGACGGGTCTACACCTATCACGTGTACGCAGAGTATGCCTAAATTGTGCAATACACAGACGTCGCATCTATGGGTACTTTCTACAGAATATATACACATGCCTTTGGAACTTAATAGTATATGAGCGGGTAGAGGGACACAGGCACTGGGAACATACGGGCACACACACCACGTAAATTACACCAGTACCTAAACCGCATACACAGTACAGCCACAGCGCACCAACCTTTGTGGACGGACGGCGTGCATGTAGTACACGTGTGTATGCGCACCGACGACACTCGAGGCGCAGGGTGTGCACACTGACGTGTGAGCTGCGGGGAATGCTGGTACATACTTATCATCCATGAGCGTACAGCCTGCCTACAAGGTACCGGGGTCAGAGGAGAGCTGAAAAATGTACCCACCCCAGACACGGGGAGGACTGCCTCTCCTTCCCCAGAGGACAGCAGGGTATAGATCTCTAGTGGTTCTCACAGAACCTGTGTGACAACTCAGGTCCTGAAAAGATGAGGCTTTTCATCCGCGAATGGCTGGGTGGACGCACTCTGGCCTCCCTGGGTTGGGAGCCGTATTCATCTGTTCCAACGTTTTCCATTCAGACGTGTCCAGACCACTGACGGTGTCCCAGGCCCTTTGCTTGTCACAGGGGATCCACAAGGACTCCTTTCCCCACAAATCCTCTCAAGGGCCTCCAGCCAGCCAGCCCATGATGAGGGCCCTCCCAGTGCCCAGGACGAGGGGGCCTTAGATGGAGGTTGAGGGCATGGGTGTCAAGGCCACGGAGGACCCCCAGGCGGACCTGCCTGTTCTTGATCATCTCTATCCCCAAACCCCGCTTAGGACCAGTGCTGGGAGCCCAGGAGCTATGGCTACATCCCCATTCCGATCTTCCCACTAAGTCTCCAGGCCCCCCAGGCACCAGAGCAAGTTCTTCCTCCACCTCTGAGCCCTACAGGGGCAACGTAACCTCAGGAATCCCACCTAGGACAAGACCATTGGTCCTTTCACCACTGCAAATGAGTAATTCATCCTTTTGGCAAAGCAATGTCTAAGCATGATTTACACAGCATTCAGAAGGCGTGCACCGGGCACAGAAGAGCTACAGAAACCACATCATCCCAGATGGAGGCCTCTGGACCTATGCCATGTGACCTCGGCAGTGTCCCTCAATTCACAGGCTGGATGTGGGGGATGAGGCTGAGAAAGGGAGAGGAGAGCAGCTTGTAGTCGCCCTGCAGGGCCTGGGGCCGTCCTTCCCCAGCCCTGGGCCTGGCAGCCCTGCAGGCGACCAGCACTGACCAGCACGAGCATCACCCCCAAGCCCCACCAGCTGGGCCACCGTGTGCAAAGCTCCCTGCACCCAGGGGATGCAGCAGCTCGCAGCGTCCATCCACACCAAGCTGTGTCCCCTCCCCCGCTTCCTGCTGATTTTTCTGCGTGTGCAGGGTCACAGACAGACTTGCTCATGGCCCTCAGTGCCGGCCCTGATAGGCTGCTTGGGTGGCCACAAGGGGCCAGGTCCCCAGGGATGGGGACCACTGACCAGGATGGTGACTGCACGGACAGTCTGAAAAGCAGTCCTCAGTGTTGCACCCCAACACCATG